TCGCTTCTGACTCTGTACTACATGAGAGAACGAAGCATATAGAGATCGATGTTCACTTTCTTCGGGAGAAGGTCAGCAGTGGTCTTGTTACTCCATCGTTTGTGGGGACCAGTGATCAAGTTGCGGATGTTTTTACCAAACCTGTCACTCTGTCTATTCTTCGGGACTCCGTTGTCAAGCTTGGCTTAGTTGACATTTTTGCGCCTAGCTTGAGGGGGAGTGTTGGAGTATAGATAGTCTAGGTTTATTAGGATTTCTCTTTCCTAGGTTTATTAGGATTTCTTTTCCCTTTAGGATTTCTTTTCCCTTTTTTACCCTTACTATGATTTTTATATTTTGCCTATATATACGGGGTTTTACTCTTAATTTGAGTATCTCCTTTTACTCACAATTATTTCAAGTGTACAGGTTTATTAAGCCCTAACTCCGTTAGGAAACCGTTTATCTTTCCATCGCTATAAAATCGTCATTTCAAATGTTGATTTTAAAAAGCTATCTTTTTTTTTTTACATTTTTATATAGTTTAAAAACTCCATTCCAAATGATATTTTTAAACTGTGAATGCATTATTTTGAATGACATTTAAAAAAAAAATTGAATTTAAAAAATAAGTTTAAAATAGAGTGGATATAAAAATACAGTTTGTGTGGCGAATGGTTTTGGTTAAAAGCCCTGGTAACCAGCCTGAACAAAATTGGCTGTCCCATCATCAAGCATCCCGAAATTGGATTCCTGTTGCCCATCTTTCCTCTCTATGTTTTCCCACTTAGAGTCCTTAAAAATATACATTCCTTCTTGCCCATTAGTTTCTTGTAGTTCAAAAATTGACCTAAACCAAACCTATCTTACAAATGATAAAAATAACAACATGTGCCCAAAGTTCCAACTCAATGAACTCTCTCTCATGCTCATAATGTGTATAGAATACTAGTTTATAATAATAATGGCCAGTCAATGCTCAAAACAAATTCAAACGTTCATATGGTTATAAGAATGCTTTCGACGCATGTTCACGACTAGAGCTTCGTAGGTTCATGAATACATCAGCAAGCCAACAGCAATGGACGTTGAATTAGGAAGCTTATTGCTTAAACAAAAAAAAAATACCATTATATTCCATTACATTTTTCAACCATGTTAGTGCTTACCTAGGAAAGTTCCATGCAGCAATTGGATTATATAATGGGTTTTGATAAAGCTAATTAACTAGTATATACGACGTTGCCTCTGGTTTGTAGAGGTTAGATTCATAGATTTGAACCCCCAACTTATTTACTTGTTATAGATAAGTATTTGTTGCAAGTCCCCACCGTGACACTGATATTTTACTTG